TTACACATGTGTGTCTTATTTATTTCACTTAAGAGTATGGCCTCAATATGCATCCATTTAGCTATAAATGACTCTAGTTTCTCTTTCTTTATGGCTGAGTAGTACTCCATTTTATAAAAAAAACCACATCTTCTTTATCCAGTTTCCAGTTGATAGGCACTTGGGCTGTTTCCAAGGTTTAGCTGTTACAAACTGTGCCTGCCGCAGCAAACGTGGGTACACATATATCTCTGTGGTATGATTCTTTTAATTCTTTTGGAAAAATACCCAGCAGGGAAATAGCTGGGTCAAATGGGACCTCCAGCCCTAGTTCTTTGAGGCATCTCCATGCTGATTTCCATAGTGGTTTCACCAGTCTACACTCCCACCAACAATGGAGAAGGGTTCCTTTCTCTCCACACCCCCACCAGCATTTGTTATTGGTTGATTTCTTTTGTTTTGGTACCAAGGATCAAACTTGGGACCTTGTGCTTGTGAGGCAGGCGCCAGAACCACTGAGCTAAATCCCCGGATACCATATTGAATATCTTCTGTTTATCCTCTATGTTCTTTTTTTTTTTTTTTTTTTTTGTTACCGGGGATCAAACTCAGGTCCTTGCACTTGCGCGGTTGATTTCTTGATAGCAGCCATTCTTTCTGGGCTGAGGTGGAATCTCAGTATTGTTTTCATCTGCATCTCTCTTAATGACCACGATGGTGAACCTTTTAGAGCTTTCAGTGATAACAGCCAGCAGTCGCATGCGTGCCCTAGGTTTACCACCATTGGCCTGACTTTTGGAGCTAAGCTATTGGGGAAGAATTCTGGCTTTATACACTTAACTAAGTTTGTGACAGTGGGAAAATGCTCACTCCTTGCCTTTGTTGCCTCAGTAAAAATGAGGATGATAATGTATTTCATAAAAGTTATTAAGTTTAAACACATCAATATCTGTAGCTTCTTAGACTGGCATCCAGCTGTAGGTGCTGCTCTATGTGTGATTGTTATTTTCATTACATTGTTCTAGCTAAGCTTTGCTCCTTTTTATTTCTGCCTTCAAAACTATTTTAGATGTTTCTATTCAATATGTGTGAGTTTTAAAAAATCTCTCAGTATTAGTTTCCTGTACTTATGTTCAGTTTTTGTGCTTGAGAGGTACCAACATTTAGGATCTCTTTGCATCTCCTCACTGATAAGTGCATGTTAAAAATACAGACATATTTCTTGGTAGATGGTGGCCTTCTACAGATCGAATGTGGTTAGAGTGGAGCATTTATTTCTTCTCCCTCAGAGTGCTAGTGAACCTCAGGGATAATCTCAGGTTATTTCCACCTCTCAGGTTTCAGGTTCTGAATTTCCTTTGTAGTTTTGGATTTTTAACTGACTTCATACTTTTATGTAAAATGTTTTATTTTCAACACCCATCCATCTTTTTAATTGAAAATATACCTAGTTGAAAATACTAAATCAAAAATAAATCTGATTGAAAATACTAAGATCACAAATTATTTCTGCTTAACTACAACACTCCCAAATATATTCCTTAGGATATTTATATATTTTGTAGTAAAAAAACAAAATGAAGAAGCTTGTCAAAAATACATTTTGAAAATAATGGGCTAGTCATCATTCAACAGATGTATTTCCTGGTTTACTTTTTAGACCTTTTCATGTGCCGCAATGAATCCCTCTGAAGAATACAAATAGCAGTTCTCAAATATCTTTATCTTTGGGAGCCTTCTGTGTAATAGGGCTCTTTGGGAAATGCAGAGCTATATTGTCATAATGCATTCTTCTCCTCCAGGCCTCCCATCTCATTTCTTTCTAATCTAGCCTCACCACTATTACCAGAGACATTTTTGGAAGGTAGGAATGGGAATTTGATGCAAAGGAATGTTCTTATTGTTTCTTTGTCAGTTTGGCACCGAGTTGCCCAGGCTGGCCTAAAACTTTCAATCTTCTTCCTTCAGGGTTCTGAGTAGTTGGGACTATAGGCATGTGGCACCATTCTTGGCTGGCCCCCCACTCCTTTTTAAAAAGAAATCCAGCTTTCATAGTTTCTCCCAGATACCTTCAGAGTGTATGATCATTCTACACCAGTATCTGTGGTTCTTCTCTGTCCTTGAGCATGTTTTTCCCTTGGGTTGGAATGCCCTTCTTCTGTAACCCCTCTCTGAATAGCTTTCCCTGATTCCCTCAGAGAATTACCATCTCTGTCTCCCTTCTCTAATAGTTTTGTGTAACTCATTGAAAATATTGAATGTATACTTTTTGTGAGATACTGAATGGAGGTTAATATTAAACTGGGGAAATTGTTGGGAAAATAATGAAACTTTTGTATGTATTTTTGCTTTTTATTTTCTTTTTCCAGTGTTCTTTTGAAGATTACAATGTCCATTCCCTGTTAAAGCCTTTAGAACTGGAACTACAAAAGACAGTGCATACATACTGTGGGAAAATTTATAAAATATTTATCAAGCAACTAACAAAAAGCATAAGAGACCATTATGACAGACCATCCAAGGAAAGGTGATTCTTATGAATGCTAAAGTAAATGGATGAAAACAACAAAATATCAGAGGATATGTGTGAAGGAATCATCTTCCCTGAAGTATCTGGGGAGGAATTATTCATCTCCAGAATAATTTTTTTTCCTGAAGAAGTTATAAAACCATTCATGTGATGAAGAATGAGTTAAAATCCTGGGCTCCAACAAGAAGACATTTTTGACCTCTGATGTTTTGTAACACATTACTTGCTATCATTCCATTATTGCTGAAAGTATTATTCCAAACTTGCAGACTGCGGAGCCCTGCTGGCTTTTACCTGGAGTGAGTAAGATGGTAGGGTATGAGAGAGAAGGGGTCCCTCTTACACAGTGGAGACACAAACTGTGAGTATAGCAATGATTTATGTGTCAGCACTAACCTCACTCTATACATGTGAGAAGAAAGCTGTTTACAGGAGCAGAAAGGGTTCTGTTTCTCAAGAAATGTGACGTGACCAATGTAATCTTTGACAATCTGTATGTACCTTTATGCATTTCATCTCTGTTCTACAATATTTTTGTGACAATCATGTTCAAAATTATTTTTAGGCTATAAGCTGTACGTTAAAAACTGAGTTGTATGAGAAAGTAAAAATAGTGAAAATGTTGAGGTTTTTGTGTGCATGGTGTGTGTGTGCTTGTATGTGTGAGTGTGCATGAAGAGGTGAGAGACAAAGAGAAATGTACTGTTTCCATTTTGTGTGCATTAAACTGTTTTGCCAAATCTCAGTTATAAGATATCTAGAATTTTTTGATCACTTTATGTGAAAATTTTCAGCTTTACTGGGCATTCTGGAAGCAAAATATATTATGTGATAATAAAGTGAGAACCTTAATAGTAATGCTAGTGTGATGGTGGAAAATGCAGTGGACCAAAATCCATAAGCTATATACTTCCTGTGATCAGTAATTTTAGTTACAGCACAATAGGAAAAAGTGGTCCATTTAAACTGTTTTACCTCAAAATGGCTTTGTAGGGTATTTTTTGAAGGAGCAAATTTATAGATTCAATTTAAGCAAGTTAAACACCTTTGATGGGTGATTTGGATTAATAAGATTGTTATATCTGTAGAAAAGTAGTTTTGATTGGGTTAATGTGCATATCTTCCTTTTTTGAAGAGTGCTAATGACAGTTAACTTTTTAATCTTGAAGATGAGCAAAATATTAATCCTCTTGCCATTCTTGACCTGCTATCCACATAATATAATTACAGCCCTGAGTATTTAGTATGTGCTATACTGGAGCACACATCTCATTTTGCTGTGTGCTATTTGGTTATCTTCTTTTTTCTCTCTGATATTTTAATGCTTAAATAGAGAAGGGGACATCATGAAGGAAAGAAAATCACTTGGGAAAATTGTGGGATTTAGCTTTGAAAAGATAGTTTTTGGTGTAACCCTGGATATGCAGAAATTAAGTGGTTGGTACTCTTGTCTCCTGTCTTCTGTAGTTCAGTCAGGGACAGACTGAGAGAGGAAGAGTGGAAAAGCAAATTAAAAGTTGATCCCCTCCTCACAAGACCTCCCCAAAAGAGAGCCTGATAACCAGCCTTGCACTCTTATGACTGATCGGCTGAGAGAGCAAGAGCTGTACTTCCTTTGCAGAGTGTGAGAAATGTGTTCGAGTTCATCTTGCTGAGGAGGAGGAAGTGAGAATCTTAAAATTTCAAGCTTTGGCTGATATATATATATTTCTAATGGTCCACAAATGAGACCATTGCTGTCTGACCCTAGAGGGAGGGAGCTTGTTAAAAACAGCTGTTCTGAACCATCACCATTTGGAGACTAATATCTTGTGTCTAGGATGGAGTCTGCAAAATCTTCTTAATGAAAAGATTTAAAGGTTACACAGAAGTAGGGAGCTTAGTATAATGGTACTTATCATCCAGATCTCATGATACCTAGTATGTCAATATTTGCTTCATTTATTCTTTTTTTCTTTGTTGATTGTGTGTGTGTGTGTGTGTGTGTGTGTGTTTTAACTGGGGCTTGAACCCAGACCATCACACTGAGCTACATCTCCAGCCCTCTTTATTTTTATTTTTTATTTTGAGACAGGGTGTCTTAAGTGTTATTAAGTTGCCTAGGTTGGGCTGAACTTGAAGTCCTCCTGCCTAAACCTCCCAAAGTGCTGGGATTACAGGCATGTGCCACCATGGCCAGCTTGCTGAAATATCTTAAAAGAAAGCCCAGGCGACATTTAAGTCACTGCTTATGAACGTTTTGGTAACTACAAACACAACATATATAAAAGGAGTAACAGTCCTTTGGTTTCATCTGCTAACCAGTCCTTAAGCATGTTTTGCTGATTGTCTAAAAAATGCTGTTGTTCAGTTGGTTTGTTAGAACTAGGATGCAAATGTAAGTTACATCCTGTTTTTAATAAGCACTTCACATGAGTTTGATACCCCCTAATTTGGGAACAAACAAATTATTTTGCCAACTTTAAAGTTAGGATGCCATAATTCTTGGCATAGTTGGTAAACCGTAAATGTGATTTTGAAAGTAGAGGAACCAGTTTGGATTATTGATGTTACGAATTTATATTAGTAAATTCTGTAAGATTCAGTTTTCTCAGTGAGTGGAGACTCATGGGCTCTGGTGTGATTGATTGAGACAGTGAAGAGTCTGGTTGTAGTTCAATCAGCTGGATATGTCCATGGCCTCACTTGTGCTGTGGCTTAAGTACTGTTCCGCAGTCAGCTTTGTGGATCAGTCAGAGACTCTTCATTTGGCCCCTTCAGACCTAACTTACTTGAGCATTTTACCATAAATGTATACTTTTTTACCTAAAATAAATAGTATCACAGAAGTGTCGATAGTAGTTTGAAAATGAATTTTATCTTTAGGCAAAGTAATTTTTTCTTTGAGAATTTCCGAGAAACACAGTTCTCAGTGAGGTTAAATTATAGACAGACAACTTGGAGAACCTATTTTTAGAATAAGTAGTTTTTCATAAAACATAAGGTATCTATGCAGCTTGTATAAATTATGTATGTTTTGAGTCTGTGTGTTAGAATAAGTCTAGCTTCAGAATTATCTCTGGGCTACAGTATTACCAAAGTGGAAAGACTTTAAAATGTAGTCATACTTTGTATTTGTAGTCATCTTAAGTGAACTTGGAAAACCTCTAGAAAATATATTTTATAATTCATACTTTAAGAACACCCATACTTTTTTTGTCCTCATGAAGAGTGATTCCTCCTGTGTAAGGTAACCAAGCTCTCTGGATACTTCAGAGCCTGAAATAGTGTTACTGCTTATACATTGCTCTCTCATCTTACCTCAGTCAGATGGTATTGGTGCAATGAGAAGACCAGATTGTGAACTAGATCTGGCTAGGACCTCAGGCCTGTCATTTAACCTTCTCTGTGCCTTAGGTTTTAAGTACAATCAGTCTGCCCTTCAAACCTCATAAGAAAATGAGACTCAGAAGAGATAATAGATTTGAAAGTATTGTTCATGGTTTATGAAGCCACACCAGTGTCACTGGTGGTCCATTGCCTTAGACTATTTTCTGACATACATCCGCAGCATGAATTTGCTTGTATTGTGAAAGAAAGAATTGTTAAAGAAGAGAAAGTTGAAAAGAAAAGAATGATGTGATTGAATAATCAAAAAGAAAGGGGAAGAGAGAAGAGAGGAAAGAGAAGAGGATTAAAGTGAGGATGGCAGAAGACAGAGTAAGAGAGAAGATGAACCGAAGATGGGAGAACGAGAAGTAGAGATGGAGAGAAAGGTGGTGGAAACATTTTCTTTTGGAGCTAATAGTCCCTACACTAGGTCACTGCCAGCTGTCCTTCATCCTTGAGGGTCAGGAACGCTGCTGGCTACTGTGGAAGGGGCAGCAGCAGGCAGCTGTGTTTGATTTATTGGTACTAGAGACATTTCTTGGTCATGTTACTCAATTATTTTTTTAGAAGAAATGAGCCAACATTTTGTCTTTTTACTGGATCCCAGTTTGTGAGCTAGGACTGGTGGAAACAAATGTCTTCCATTTCAACTTTATGCTTTAGCCAAATCAAATGTTGGGTTATGTGAGACTAGCCATGTATTCAGGAAAGGAAGGCCTGAAGGCACTGCTTTGTTAGGTCTGAAGGGGACCCAGGCATGTCTTGCAACAGTTTTCCCAGGAGGCTTGAGAATCACTGCCCTACCTTGAATGGTAGGTTAAGCCTTAGATGACAACTATTCTTCAGGAGGATGCTTTCAGTAACTGTTACAAATGAGTCAAGAAAACAGGAATGGTAGAGACATAAAATGGGAAAATCTTAAAAAATATTCGTTGTCTTTTTCAGAATAACACTGTAGTTGCAATCAGAATCTGAGATGTTCTTAGAAAGACCACTGATCTGTTGTTTTAAAATAACTTCTTTGGTTGATTAGAGTAAATAGAGAAGAAATGTAGGGTGCAATATGTCAGGTGTGGGGCCAGTTACCCATTTATTAAATGCAATTTCAAATGTCTTTAATAATTGCCTTATATTTTAATATTTAATAAAAAATTTTTACTGTAATAGTTATCTTTTATACATTGCCAAAGCAACCTCTTTTTGCCTATTAAAGTCTGGCTAAACTGTTTTGATGTTTATTATTTCTTAACTCATTGAACATAAAACTGAATTTCAGAAACCAAGGTATATGACCATAACAAAAATCTAAAAGGGGTATAAGAATTAAGAAAAAACTAAAAGCGAATATGATGTTATTCAAATATCTAGCAATTGCAGAATGGCATACTAGTCTGAACAATTTAAAATTGAGTACAAATCAGTGTTAGACTTACTTTGGAAAGTTTAAATTGTCACCTTGTCTCTACCAGAAACTCCAAATGTCTAACGGGATTATTTCCTTAGAATTTTCAAATAAAAAGAGACCTTTTGCCAATAATTTTTCTCACCACTAGTACTGTGAATGGTATTTGGAGGATCTGTGGTCAGTGATTTTAAAATCAAATCTGAGAACTGATGTGGAGCCTTTGATTATGTTTTTGCAGTTGGAATATGTGAAAAGATTCTTATGTAGAGCAAGATTGCAAACGCTTTTAAAAATTGGTGAAGAGAATGCAAAAACATATATTCCATCTAAAAAGTAAATGACTGTCCATGGTGGGCAATATCTGTTTTCAGCCTTTGTATAAAGTTTCTTCAGGGAATACTGGATTGTTACCTTTCTGTGCAAAAATAATCCAAGGTTTGTAGTATTGTTTACAGTACTTCATCCATTGCAAATTTAGTAGAACATGCATGTTTAACATGCATTGCCATCAGTATTTGAGAGCTGACCAGTTGTTTCTGATGGATGCTATAACACAAGATCTGTTAAGGAGATGGTGGAACTCAGAAACTGCACCTGTTCCTGAAATCAGAAACTGGAAAAGACAGAAGGTGTTTCACTTTTTTCAAGTATTTTGCATAAATATACTAATATTTTAAGTAGCAATAGTTTTAAAAGCTGGAAGAATGTATCATGGTATACTGTGATATTTAGAAATTATTG